TCTCGCAAAAAAATCACGGTTTTAGTAACGCAGTAACGCAGCGTTCCTACGGGAAAGTAACGGTAATCTAATTACCGTTTTTGCAATAGTAATCCCTTACTTTACTCGTTACTTGAAAAAAGTAATCGGATTACAGTAACTGCCCATCGCTGTACATGGAAAGCATAGAGGGAGAAAGAGTAGTACCAAGACACCGTCATGAAACATAGCAAAGCATCACTGACAACAGAAATGTTCATGAAATGACACGAACAGCTTGAAATGGTAGAACTGGGGTTGAGGTTGTTTTGCAAAGCAGCAGACACAGGAAACAGCTGCTGTATACAGGCTGAAGTGGTGTAAGACCTGAAACAGCTGAAGACGTGGGATCCTTCAGGTCAGAAGACACAATGACACTAAGAACGACATGACCACTCCTTTCCATATCTCACTCCCACAGCTCACCACTTTACATCCTCCATCATCCCAGTGCATGCTGTTTACTGTTCACCAAAATAAAAGGATGGCCAGGATATCACTATGGTGTCTTGTTATAGCCCCGAGCTGGCCTGTTCATGGCTAACATGGAGCTAGTTTGGAGCTTATTCATTTCTTTTTGTATTTTTTCCTTCAAAGTGTTGAAACATTAAAGTTTCCAAAAGAGAAAATGAAAAACAAAACTAACTTTTTCCTACCAAAAACCTTTCCAGGTGGAGCTCCGGGAGGAAAAATCAAGACTTGCTTTCATTTCGATGTGAGTGGTGCTAATAGACTGAATATCCTTAAGGGATATGTAAAAACTGCAAGTCGAAATTATATTTAGATGAGAAATTTTAATTAGTCATGTTGAATATATGAAGTCCTTATATGCAAAGTCAACAACCACGCTATTGCCATTCTTCAGTGCATCACAGTGATGTTGAGTGTTCTTCAGTTACCCTTCACAGAGCCTACAGGCTCCTTCTATGAATCTCCTCCTCCAGCTCCAGAATCGCTGTCTCACCAGCTGAGCTGACCAATCAGTGTGTCTGGCGCAGATGTGACGAGCACACTGCCGTGCATCAACCCCCAGAAAGCAAAAGGCCCAAACAGTATTCCAAAGAGGGTTCAGAGCTTATGAACTCACACAAGTCTGCACAGATATTTTTAACATCTCACTCTTTCAGACGGTGCCAGTGTGTCTGAAGAGAGTGAGAGCGCATCAAGAGTGCAGCAGCAATGTCATGAAATGCATTAAGGGGCTAGTTATGACCCACTACATACACTAACATGGACTGATGTGCCATAAAAAGTGTCACTGTGCACTGGATGCAGAGTGGTCAGTGTTGACGATCTGCTCTCACAAAGATGGCCAGCTCCTGTGTCAGGCTGCTCCTCCTAGACTTTAACTCTACCTTTAATACTATTAGCAAACTGTTGTTGCTGATAACTGCAACCTCTGCAACTGGGTCCTGGACCTTTTTCACACACCACTAAATCACACCAACAGTCACATTTATGAACGACTGTGCAACAATACGAAGAAAACTCAAACGATCAGACGACCCCCTATGAAAAAACACTGACAGTGGAAAGAAATAACTCCAGAGAACACCAGAGATCCAGAGATAAATAATAACTAACGACTAAGTGCAGAGTGGTGTATAAACAAATACAGAGTGCCTCCCATTATAAAGTACTCTGGTATTGTACTATGGTACTATAAGACTGATTCTTCCAGACTTTGCATGTGAGGACAAGGACTTTAAATTTGATTCTGGATTTAGGAAGGAACCACATTTTGGATCAACTGAAGGCTTTTCAGGCAGATCTTAGGACATTTTGATAACTGAACTGAATTACAGTCGTCCAGCCTGGAAGTAATAAATGCATGAACTAGTTTTTCAGCCTCTCTCTGAGACAGCACGTTTCTGATTTTAGAGATATTGAACAAATGCAGTCCTACATATTAATCTAATATTCACACTGAAAGACAAAGGAAGCGAAACTAAACGTAAGACACAGAGACAAGAATTTGGCATAATAACTAAGACTGAGTGAGCACACGAACACCGAGGGAAGAATCTATCAGGAATATACCGACTACAGTACTTTTCATGTACATTGTGACACAGAAGATGAAAGCTGATGGTGACAGTCAGCAACACATTCAAAAGATCTCTGATTTCTGCAGTGAGACTTGGAACCTTCTATACAAAATGTAAACTGTGCAAATTCACCTTTTCACTTTAAATATTTCTTGACACCAAGAATTCATATCATGAATCTGCTTAGAGAAACAGCAAACATCTGTGTGAGAATGTGGAACACTTGAATAGATAAATCTGTCTAAATCCAAAGAAGTATGAGCGCTGAATGCTGCAGCTGTCTGAAGAGCTAAAACTGCTAAGCTTTTCAGCAAGCCCATCCTCAACATCATAAGAGGAAAGAGTTGGTTTAATGCGTTCAACACTGTACCTTTGTTAAAAGACAGATAATCTGCAATGGCCTGTATAGTGCTCATTTGAAAGTTAACTGCTGCTCCTGCTGCGCCACAGACCTACACCTTTGTTTCTCTTCAAAACTTAAATGTTAAATCTGGTTGGTTGCAGAATAATACTTGGTATTTTTATTTTACAAAACTAATTACAAAAATATTTTTCATATGTTTAGTCTAACAAACTTTTCTTTTCTTTCTCTGAAGTAGTTATATGTGACGTAATATTTATTGTTCACATTAAATAAATTTGTGGATACATTGTGCATTCTATTTTTGTCATTTTTGCTATTTTACCAGTTATGGATATGGTAAATACAGCATCTGGGAAATGACCATAATCATAGCTTTTAAAAGTTTAATGAACTTTAGATGAACTCATAAAAATCATATATACTGTTTTTACCCATTTCTGTGGTCAAAACTTCCATAATTAAAGAATATATTTTATTGGTGGACAACAAGCTGGACTGGTCATGCAACTGTATAAAAAAGCCCAAAGCCGACTGTACTTCCTCAGGAGGCTGAGGTCTTTTAACATCTGCAGGAAGCTCCTGAGGATGTTTTACCAGTCGGTGGTTGCTGGAGTACTTTTCTATGCTGTGGTGTGCTGGGGGAGCAGCACAGCAAAGAAGGACTCATCCAGGCTGGAG